CAGAAAATCGCCTTCTTTAGCGAGCATTTCTTCAATTTCATCGCGAGGCATCAAGCCATGGTACCAAGCGTATCTTTGCAGTATATCACAAATGCTCTGAAATCCGCACAAACCATAAATGCTCTAAAATTGCTAGCTCCATGAAATATTTTTTTTTGCTCTGTTGAACCATTTTGCCAAAGTCCGAAGTTCCAGAAAGTCCATTCAAATGGCTATCGTTCCCCTTTTTCGATCTGTTTTGGGCCAGAAATTGGGCATACTTTTGCAAATTCTTTGTCATCCAGTGTAGCCGCTGTTTGTTCCACTAGTGGCGCATCGTACATGCTTTTCGGAGCATTATCAGCTGCAGGCGAAACATCCTGCCGACGGAGGCTATCAACGCCAATCTAAAGTACATCCACCCAATAAAAACACCAAAGTTATCACTTCGCTATGAAGCGGCAATGTCAATTTTGCTGTTTACCGAAGACAGCGCTGAACAATTTTAAAACGTTAACTTGCACGGAAGCTGTGGGCTCCCGAATAATGTTTTCATCAAATTATTAAAATTCAACTGTGTTCCTTTCCACAATGGGCTAGCAACGCTAATCCAAAAGCACATGTTAATACGTTGGAGACTTCAAGTCAACCGCTCTCTTATATTCTTCTGGTTACAGATATTCACTCTTTATACCCACAAATTTCCATGAAATTTATGCAAAAATTCAAATTTTATCTCTCAAGTCGAGTCAAGTTACAATCTATTACCACAGTCGTCGTACTGACGAGATCCAATTCTGACAGTGGTAAGAAATGTATACGATTTAATGGACCGAAACATTTCTTACCATTAAAATAATTCTTACAATTTACAAATTTTGTAATTCTCATCTGCTACCTTATTTTGTTCTTCTTCTTTCATCCGTCGTTAATATATCCTATTTTTATTCTATTATAATCTTTATTCACTCTTTATGAAAAGGGAAGGAATCTCGACATGCAACACAAACGGCAGCGAACTCCAGCAGCAACCTCCCGCTAGCAAGGCTCATGATGGTTCCCGTTTTCTAAGGTTGTTTACAAGCAAGTTGATGGCAGGTTTCTCTCCATGGCGTCATGTATCAGTACCGATTTACCATCGGAAAGAATGAACGAATCGTAGAGAGACTGGTTCTGTCGTTGTAACGAAGTCGAATCCTTGGGGCTCAGCACAAGAGGAGCGCTACTAACAACGCCGTCACGCCATGTTCGCCAAAAAAAAAATTTTAAATTTTACTCGTCTTTTTTCATACAAAATCTGCAGTCATAAGTTTTCATGCAAAATCTGCGGTGATAAGCCCTCAATTTATGAATGAAAGTAGAATCAGCTGATTATCGCGCACCTGTTTAAGAGTAAGTGTTATCCTTGTATCTGCCAATGCCCGTT